CATGTGCAAACACTTGCACATGCGTGCAAACATGTACAGAAATATGCACCTATATACATGCACATGCATGCAAATGTGTGTGATTATATACAGCTATRTGAGTGCACATGCATGCAYGCACACCCATGCATGCGTGTGCAAACACATGCAAGKGCRTGCAGACGCATGCCCATGTATGCAAACACTTGCACGTGCATRCAAACACGTGCACAAWTATGCACCTATACACATGYACATGCATGCAAACACGTGCAATTATAGACAGCTATACGTGTGCACATGCATGCAYGCACACCCATGCATRCGYGTGCAAACACMKGCAAGKGCRTGCAGACTCATGCCCATGTGCGCAAACACTTGCACGTGCATGCAAACACGTGCACATATAGGCACCTATGCACACGCATGCATGTCCCTGCATATGTGTGCAACCACTTGCACATGCATGCAAACACATGCATAAGCATGCATGCACATGTGCATCCATGTATGTATGCGCACCCCTTTGCATATATGCACATATATATATATATATGTTGCATACCCATTTATATATGCACAGATCCATGCATATGCAAGCACCAACACGCAAATGCATGCATGCACACGCATGTACATGCATGCAAGGGCATGCGCACACCCTTGCGTGCCCGTGCACAGCCCCTCCCAACGGGAGCATTTCCAAACACGGGAGGATTCCGGCTGTTCCCAGCGCTCTGGGCTCCCCAGGAATGTCGGCGGGAGCCGCCCCCTCGCAAGCGCCTTTTCCCGGGCCCCCGGAGGCGGCCGCCGCATTCCGGAGCCCTGGCTCATCGCGCGGCCGCGGCGTTCCRGCCGGGATCCGCCAGGAAGAAACCACCCCGGGGGGACGCGGAGCCGGAGGAAATTCCTCTGCCAGCTCCGTTCTGTCTTCCTGAAGTGCAGGGAAAACTGCTGGAACACGGAGGGAGATGGGAAGCAGTGCAGCAGGATCCCCCTATGGATGGATGGATGGATGGGAAGGAAGGAAGAGCAGGGGGTGGGGGCAGGAATTACCCCCCATTCCCAATCTTGGTGCATTTTCAGCCCCCGGGTGCAATTCCCAATCTTGGTGCAATCCGGATCCCAGGGCAACACCTGGTGCAATTCCCAGTCCCAACCCCGGTGCAGCTCCTCATGCAATCCTGACTCCGATGCAACTCCTGCTGCGTCCCCAGGCCCTAGTGCAAWTCCAGGTGACATCCCGGTCCCGGGCGCAATCCCAGGGCTGGCGCTATCCTGGGTGCAATCCCATTCCCGGGTGCAAGCCCAGGCGTAGCCCCGCCCCAGGTGCAATCCCAGGTGCAATCCCATTCCAGGGGCAATTCTGGGTGCAACAACTGGGTGCAATTCCCTCCTCGGTGCAATCCCCTTCCCGGTGCAATCCCGGGTGCAATCCCGGGTGCAATCCCCTTCCCGGTGCAATCCCATTGCAGGTGCAATCCCAGTTGCAATTCCCCCTTCCCGGTGCAATCCCGCCCCGCTGCAGCCAGGCCTCGTGCTCGGAGCAGCGCGGCTGCGCCGGGGGATGTTTCGGATTCCGAGCTGGCTCCCGGCCACGGCCTTTGCCGAGCGCGGCCATTGGCACCGGGAAGAGCCGCCCGGCCCCAAGCCAGGAGCCAGGAAAACGCAGCCCGATTCCTGCTTCCCATCCCGGAGCGGCTGCCRCTCCAGAACCCCCTCTGGGAAGGATCGGAGCAAAACTGGGAGCACTGCGGGCGTCTTATGGCCTCCATCCCGTTTGCGGCCCTGGAATGTGCTTGGGAATAGGGGGCCGCGCGGAGCGGGGATTCCGGCAGCCGCTTCCCCTCTCCGCGCGTTGCCCAGCCCGGCGTGAGTCACCGGGGAAAGGGGAACCGCTCCGGATGCGGCAGAGCGGCAGCTCCCACAGCAGCCCCCTCGCGCCCTTCCCCATCCCGCAGCATTCCCGGCGGGATTGCTCCGCCTGGGATGGGGGGAGCGCCACGCACATGCCGCTCGCCAYGGTTGACAAGCGCAGCGCTCGGCAGGGCAGCATTCCGGCTCTGGGAACGCCGCTGCGCCGGAGCCGGGAAGGGCCGATCCCGAGGCCCTTCCGCGCATTCCTGCCGCCGCCTGTAAACAAACAGGAATTTGGCCGCGGCTCCGGGGGCTGCTCCCGCCTCCCGCCCACGCCCAGCCGGGAAGAGGCCCCGGAGCAGGGAAACACCCCGGAGGGAGCCCAGCGCCGGCACCCCGGACGGCACCAGGAAAGGGGCTGGAAAAGCCATGGAGAGGGGCTGGAAAACCCTTGCGAGGGGGGCATCATTCCTGGTGCAAAATCCCCACTTTGCATCAAGTTTTGCTGCAAATCTGTGTCTTTTTTTCCAGTTTATTTCCCAGTATGGGGTGTGGGGGGGGCACACGCATGGAGCAGCCCCCTCCRGAGCAGCATTCCCGTTTTCCCAAGGAAACGGCCGCGGGAAGGGCTTGGCACGACAGCGTGTGTGKGGGGGTGCTCGGTGAGTCAGTCCGTCCGTCCGTCCATCCGGCACCGCCCTGTTTTAAGCAAGAACAAGCCAAAAAAAGACCCAAATCCAGATGTGCGGGCGGGGGGGGGCGGACTGCAGCAATATTTGCACCGATATTTGCCCCGTTTGCACCACAATTTGCAGCAATATTTGCACCATGATTTGCAGAAATATTAGCACGCTTTGCAAATATTTGCACCCGTATTTCCACCACAATTTGCATGAGTATTTGCACAATTTGCACCCGTATTTGCACCATTCGCACCACAATTTGCATCAACATCTGCACTACGATTTGCAGCAATCTTCGCACCACGCTTTGCGCTAATATTTGCCCCGTCTGCACCACAACTTGCATCAATATTTGCACTGATTTGCAGCAATGTTTGCACTGATATTTGCCCTGTGATTTGCAGCAATCTTTGCACCATTTGCACCACAACTGGCATCAGTTTTTGCACCGTGGTTTGCAGAAATATTTGCACTGATTTTTGCAGTTTGCACAATTTGCAGCAATATTTGTGCTTTTTGCACCATTTGCACCACAATTTGCAGCAATATTTGCACTGTTTTTCGCGCTGTTTGCACCACAATTGGCAGCAGTATTTGCACCGATTTTTGCCCCATTTGCACAAGTTTCAGCAATATTTGCACTGATTTTTCACTCCGTTTGCACAATTTGCAGCAATACTTGCACTGATTTTTGCCCCGTGATTTGCAGCAACATTTGCCCCATTTGCACAATCGGCAGCAGTATTTGCACCAATTTTTGCCCCGTTTGCACCACAATTGGCAGCAGTATTTGCACTGATTTTTGCCCCGTTTGCACCACAATTTGCAGCAGTATTTGCACCGATTTTTGCCCGGTTTGCACCACAATTTGCAGCAATATTTGCAGCGATTTTTGCCCCGTT